ACCTTTAAAAATGATGATAGTACCTATTCTTTTGTAAAATAACATGAATTTAGAATTTTCCAACATATACATTCTGCATAATAATTGCATTTAAGTAAGCTATTTTTTACTATACATTATTTTAAAATTTAAAAGTACTATGTATTTGGATCATTTTTTTCACATTTTACCATTGAAATACCAAAATATTGATTTTAGATCTTAATTCTATATAAAATAAGCTTTAGTTTGATACCAAACTTGATGGGATTTGATAAGTATGAAAAATTACAAAAAATCACTCTGCACTATGGAATTACCCTTTTGTAAAGTGTGCATTGAATGGATTTTGGAACAATTTCACTAGATTTCTTAAGATAAAAAGGGCCTGGTAATATTTTATTTTTAACATGTTCAATTTGTTTTGTCCATGAAAGATGCTCATCAATTACAATACCTAAATGTTTACATTGATGAACTCTTTTTAAGTGTGTACCTTCAATTTTCAAATTTAACTTTTTTTTTATCAATTTTTGGTGTGTTCCAATTACCATGAATTCTGTTTTATTGATATTTAAGTTTAATTTGTTACAATACAACCAGTTTGCAATGTTGTCGAGATCAATATTAATTTTGTCAGACACAATTCTTTCACATTATCAGATGCTAAATACAGAGCAGTATCATCCGCATACATGCTAATTTTTACATTTTGTACAATTTTAGAAAGATCATTAATATACAGTAAAAATAACAAAGGCCCTAGGATTGACCCCTGGGGTACTCCACAAACACTATTATCTTAATACTGGATGAGACGTTATTCACATTAGTAATTTGGATATGGTTTCTTAAGTAGCTTTTAAACCAACTTATGACATTTTTGTCAAGACAAAATGTTCTAGCTTTTCAATTCAAATTTTGTATCGATCGTATCGAAAGCTCTTTTAAGATCAATCATTATAAGTCCAACATATTTTCTTGAATCAATGGCCTCTATCCAATCCTCTGTAATATTAATTAATGCTGAAGCAGTAGAAAAGTTTGGCCTAAATCCAGACTGGTTTTCATAAATCAACTTTTCTTTTCTTTTTCTAAATAAGAGTATAACTGATCAAATACACTTCTTTCTAACAGCTTGGATATAACAGGCAAAATAGATATAGGTCTGTAGTTACATGGGTCAGTGTGATCACCACCTTTATACACAGGACAAAGTTTTGCAATTTTCCATTTATCTGGAAAAATACATGTAGAAAGAGACATATTTATTAGATAAGTAATAGGTGGCACAAGCGAATCAATTGCAAGTTTCAGTAGGTTAGTAGGGATATCATCAATACCTGTTGCTTTTTTAGCAGACATAGATAGTATTTGTTTACGAATGTAATTTTCGTCAACAGCTTTAAAATTAAACCGAGGTTTGTTATTATTTTCTGAGAAAGAGATATTATATGGTCTACCTGCAGGAATATTTTTTGATAAATTTGGTCCAACTGTTGAGAAGTATTTAGTAAGAGATTCGGCAATTGTAATTGGGTTTGAAGTCGACCATTCTCTGTTTTTAGGCTTGTGATTCCAGATATTGCAGCCCTTTTAGGCACAATGTAGCGCAAATTTTCCCAAGTCTTTCTTGAATCTTTAGTATTTAGTTCATTTGAAAAATATTTTATCTTACATTTTTTTATCATTGTATTTACATCATTCCTGGCTTTACGAAAATTTGCCCATAAATCTGTAGAATTTGATTTGATCGCTTGTTTTTTTCATTTTATCTCTTTTTATGTCTTAACCTAATTAAATCTTCAGTGAGCCAGGGTGAGCTTTTTTGTCGAACTCTCTTTCTTCTCATTGCAGCATGCTGATTTGCAATATTTAGGAATTTTTCGTCAAAATCCGTTAGTGCAGAGTTAATATTTTCATGGATTGTTATTTCATGCCATTTAACATTTAAAAAATCAATCTTGAATGAAATTTCGTCAAAATGCTTATAGTTTCTGTTAGTTTTATTCTTATGATTTCTTTTTTCAATTTTTTCCTCTTTTCCTAATATCATTAACTAGTGAGTGATCACTCATACCTGTGTTCAGAATACAAACTATACTGTAGCAAAACTACATTTACTGTGTTTAAAGAGCAGAACTACAAGTAAACTTATATTTCAATTTTTACTTACCTTTGACAATTTTCCTGATGAGGTCCTTTGTGTTGTTTGATGTTGCTGGGAAATGTTTCAGTTTCGTTTGATTGTCTTGGGTGCTGATGCTGCTGTCTTGTATACTGAATGAACCTTTCATTGTTCTGATTACATTTATATACAATCAGATTCCTTTAATTTTTTTGTATTTTTCTTATCTTGTGAATGCAGATGGATTAAATGAAGGTTCAACAACGTTGTTATTGAATTCCAAAACCAATATTACTCTACAATATTCCGGTTTTAGATATCGTTGCGGATGTATGTCCAAATGATAAGGAACTCTGCACATTATTTCTTCCTATAAATAGGGTGTGGATCTTTGTTATCACCAGAATATATCTGACCTAGCATAAAGGTAATAATTACAATGGTGTTCTTGGATATTTGTCGGAATGAATACAAAGCTCCTGGGGGAAATTGGGCTTGGATGTTTGTTACCATTCCAATATATCTGACTGGAGCTTAAAGGTAATCAGAACAAAGGTGTTTTGGTTTTGTTTTTTTTATTTGTCCGGATAAGTACATAGCTCCTTGCCTTAAAGGTAATCAGAACTAGTGCTCATTTATTTCATTTAAACCTTTTTTTATTGTTTATTTACTATGGTCCGTGACCATTCATTATGGTAATGGTGATAGTGATGTTTATTAATGAAGATATTTGGAATTATAAACAATTTCTTTCTGGAATTAGGGTGTGGATTATTCTTGTCATCTCAACCTCCCTTAACTGTGTATAAAAATAATTAAACAAACCTTTTACCTTTACTGAGATCCATGACCAGTCAAGGTAGTGGCAGGTTCATGAAATGTCAGGAACAAAGTTACTATGAAACATACTTTAAATTAGTGTCTATGGACAGATAGTCAATGAGATGTGTAAATCATGCTACACACACCATGTGAGTAGACATACCTGCAGACACCATGTCAACCATACACGCACACCATGTGAGTCAACCATACACACACACACCATGTGAACCAACTATACACACACCATGTGAGTCAACCATACACACACACACACCAAGTGAGTCAACCATACCTATACACACCATGTGAGTCAACCATACACACTCACAAACATGTGAGTCAATCATTCCTACACACACCATGTGAGTCAACTACTGTATACCTACACACACCATGTGAGTAACCATGTACCAGCACATGCATGCGAATCAGCCATGCTGTACCAGCACACACCATGTGATTCAACCATACACACTCACTCATCATGTGAGTAATCAGAACTCCATACACTATACACACCATGGTGAGTCAGCCATACCTGCACACACCATGCAAGTTGAATGACTGAGCAGTTAGGCAGAGGCGCTGCAACATACAGCCATAATATCGGTGCTGGTTCGAACAAACCATAAGCCTAGTGTAAACAATGTGGCTCATGTGCACTGTAAAGATGAGTAGGGGGCTACCCCCATGTACTAGTCCATTCAACCCCTATTGTGGACAGACAAGAGTAGCTAGTACCAAAGATCTTATAAACACAAGATAGCGTTCTCCGCGATTTACGCGTGCAAATTCTGTAATAAGGCATGAATGGCGCCCTCTTGCTAAATTGGAAACTTTTGACCCTTGACCGCTCTGACCATACCTACACCAATCCTGTGAACAGCAGAACAGGAACCATCTCAGATCCATGGCAACAGATAGGACGCCCTCTTCCAAAACTGATTACTTTTTCTCTTTGGTATAATAGCGCATGAACGGCGCCCTCTTGCTAAATTGGAAACTTTTGAACCTTGACCGACGTTTCTATTTGTTACGCGTAAATCGCGGAGAACGCTATCTTGTGTTTATAAGATCTTTGCTAGTACTGGTTGACATGTAGAGACCCTTAGAGAAGCAAGTTACTTTAATGCTGCGTTCATTAGTACTTGTGAAGGCGGTGTTTCCCAATTCCTTGATTTGCACAAGTAGTCCTGAAAAATTGCGAATGTAACACAAACGAGCAGATATATTTATTGCAGTTAGTTTAGGTAATATTATTTCTGATTTCTTTTTTTTTTTGCAACCTCATGATTTGCACTGTATAACCACCTCATGATTTGCACTGTATAACCATGGAGGTATCCATTTTAGTGTTCGTCAAATGAATGCACTTTCTCATGTTTTCGCATGTTACAAGTTCTAATGAACGCAGCATTAGAACGGGTGGCACCAGGATTTGCCCAATGGGGGGTCGAGGTCCCCGACGAAAGCAATGTGGGTGTGGTCGAGCTTTGATTAAAATGTTTCGAAAGAGGTCCAGTGGGTGAAGTCCCTGAAAATTTTAACTTTAGGGGTTTCAAAGGCTTATTTAATCGATTTAAGAGTCTACTAATATCTAGAAAATACATATAATTTTTCTTTCTCCCCGACGACAGGGTTTCCAAGCCTGCTTACCTAACCTGTGAGGTGACAGGGTTTTTTTTTTTGTTTTTTTTTTGCTTTTGCTTTCGGCTTCTATATCTTCTTTTTTTGGCCTGTTCTTTCATCCTTTTGTATTTTGCCGAATAGAAAATTAAAATAAATACCCAGTGCTTAATAGGCTTTAATGGAATTTCTTCTAGTAGAATTAATGTAGCCTATCACATAAAGAACTTTTAACATTGACTGTTAATATAGCTTTACATGGAGAAGAATAAAAAGAGCAAATATTCTAATTTGAAGAAGTTTTTTTCCTAGTTTTTCATGAGTAATATTCATAGTAAATTGTAATGGCTGCATACTATACTATGTTTTACTGAAGGCTTTTATCCTTTAATGAAAGCTTGTTTCAAGACCTTTGATTAAAACATTGTGGTGTTTTTTGTAGGGTAACAGATGATGTTTTAGCAACCTCAAGACCATCCACAGATGCAATTGAAAAATTTGACATTATCCACCAGTTTCAAAAGTAAGTAGACATAGAAATAATATAAAGAAACGCTAAATAAAATAATAATAATAATAATAATAAATATTAATAATAATAATAATAATAATAATATGCGCCAAGTCAGACTTAAGGGGAATATCTTTTGTGTTATTTTCCCCTTAACGTCGTTTTCTTAATTGTTCTCTAATTTCTCCATTGATGAAATTACTGTCACATTAAACATTACTGTCACATTAAAAAATACTACTCTATAAAATTAGTGTAGAAAATTTACACTACTGTAATGTTTGAGGTTTTTGTGTCATTTTATAAAGAATTTATGTAGTTTGATTGGTTTGTTATTCAAAGCTTAAAAATGCTATCAGTCAAAATAAAGAAAATGCCTCAAAAATTTTAAAAACAAATTTTTTTGAATAGGTCATTTTAAAGAATCGAATCAAATTATTAGCGTCCACCAAGAAGTGATCGAAAAAATATTATTTTTTACTGATTTACAAACATTTTACTACAAAAATCCTTAAATTGGCTGGTAATCAACTTAAGGGTTTTGTAGTAGAATATCTGTAAATCGGTGAAAGCTAATTTTTTCGATCTGTTTCTTGGTGGAAGCTAGTAATTTATTTGATTTTTTTAAAAGAACTATTCACAATTTTATTTGAATTTTTGAGGTATTTTCCTCCCTTCTGATTAATAGTACATCTTAATATAACAATTATAAACATATTTATATATATCACAATTTCCTATTTCAATTATACAAGGTTGTAGGTCATATCTGAATAGTTGTGTATGTTTCAGTACAGGAACAACATAACCTGCTTTGAATGCTACCGATGTACTCAGCTGTAGGAGTTAATGATGGTCATATCAAGATATGACCTTATATGGGTATATTTGTATTGAAAGTAGAAACAAAAATATATTTTTTTGTTTTATTAAAATTAACTTTACAATTAATATGAATCAAAGATTTCAAGATTTTAATATTCATACAGATAATAATGCACAAAAAATAACTACACCAACATGGCTTCTGCAGATAATGTGGTATAGATCACCTGAAGAAGCCAAGGTAATTAAGTAGTAAAAGCTTGTGGAATAGATATTATATTAAAGTCATAATATTCCTGCATAATTATTTATTTTATCATAAAAGCATGTTAAAGGTACTTGTTCAGTAATGTCAGGCATGAGCGAACACCCGGGACAAGTGTTATTCACGGTCAGACAACAAGAATTTTAGGGACCACTTGTCTGTGGACAAGCACTTTTAGAATAGGCTACTTAACCAAGTAATGCGTAATGATTTCACAGTATTTATAAAAAGTCCGACTCTTGACAATACGCAGCATATTTTATTAACAGATTGTCAGCGCACAAAGAGATACCAAATATAAAAAAAACCGACTAGGCCTAGGCCATGGTTACACACCGCACTGCATGAATCAACTTTGAGTCGCCAACACTCCCGCGATTTATGGACGGTTCAAAAGAAAAAATGTAGGCCTATTTTAAACTATTTTCTGCAGTAAAGATTGAAAATGAATTCTTAATTGTTAAATGTTAACCAGATCTGTCGTAAGACCCACAGCAGGCATATATATTTTCACACGATATCATACCCGTTAGTTATCAGCTGTCTAGGCCTGCTGCACACGGTCTGTTTACAATATAAATTCGCGCTGGTCTAGTCTATAAATACCAGACATATTTAAAGACTTTGGGCACACAGCCATTAGTTGAGTTGGACGGCATGACATGTCTGGACTTCAAGACTAGTAATTATTTTCGAGTACGAATATGAACAGCAGCCATTAGGCCGACTTCAAACAATTCGTTTGCGCGTGTGGGGAAGGCAATCTGGACAGCCTAAGAAAGGGTAGTGAAATTGGGATTTAAAGTTGTTAAAGTAATTTAAAAACCATTCACTTCTAAGTAATGGAGATAATATAAAATCCAAATATTGTAAAACTAGAAACATTTTCCGTCTTAAAAATTTCGCCGTCTCGGAGACTTTTCTTTCGTTGAGAGGTAAGCCCTTTTATTTATTTTGCAATAAATAAAATCAGGATGTGTGAGGCTGTAAAATATTCCCAGCGTAAAATATTGGGCCCAGAAATCCGCCACCACAATTCAAAAATATAAGCCGATTTCCACGGATATATTTTTTGCAGAAAATTGAGGCCTTCATAGGAACACAAGTATATACGATTCTGCGCATCTATTTTTCTAGGGGTTTTCCCGTGCAATTTGAATTTTGTTTGTATCCTCCACAAAAAGAAACACATTTTGAAGTTAGTATTCATCAAGATACTGCAAACTGGTACAAAAATACGATATGGCCACCCCTTCTCTAAATAGCGTCATAAAACACAGTCCTGTCAGTCTGTGGCTGAGAACTCAAGTATCGTGGGAATCAACCATGCCTGAGAAATTTTGGCTTTTAAACACGCAATAAGAAAACGATCAACACACTCCTACATACATAGAATATTATTAATAATTTTTTTTTTAATTTGAATACCTCTATATCATACATTATTGAAATTTTATAAAATTAAAAAAAGAATTATAATTGGATTAAAAAAAACATTTTTGCGTGATCAATGCCGTATGCATGTAGGCCTATTAATGTTAGTAGGGCCATAGCAAAAAAACTTACTTTTGTGTTATTTTTTATGATTATTGCGCAATAATATTGGGACAAATACAATTGTCTTTTTTGAAAGGTACTTGTCCGGGGATAAGTGAAAAACTATGAAATTCCCTCATGACTGAATGTATTGATCATCTTATTCTTACAATATGTTAGCTTTTCCTCGTACAGTACAATACATTGAATTGTCAAACTTGATTATTGCATTAGTATTAAATACCAATACAAGTACAGGTCTACTTAAAAATATCGCAGCATGCTCATCTTATTCATACAATGTGTTAGCTTTTCCTCGTACTGTAGAGTACATTGAATTGTCAAACTTGATTAATGCATTAGTATTAAACACCAATACAAGTACTGTACAGGTCTACTTAAAAATGCATGCTGGTGCAAACAGTGGTACCATTTAGCAAAGGTATACAATATTGTGTTTAATAGTGTATTTTACCAACAGCAATTTTAAAACCTAAAAATTCTTTGTTAAAACAGATGTGATAATTATAAATGGAATTGTATTTATCCAAATTTGTTATATTATACATGCTTAAAGGACTTGTTTCAGACATTTTTTCCATTGTATTTTGTATTTCATATTCTTGCGTATGTGGACATGTTTTGCCTGAAGAAATATTTTAGTATTGGATTTAGCCCTCTAGTTCACTGTAAAATTTTACAATGTGGTGATATTGAAAATGTTGTTTTTTCAAAGGGCTGGAATCAAATCAATTGTAAACTTACAGACAGCCGGTGAGCATGCGAGCTGTGGGAATCCACTCGAGCCGTCTGGGTTTTCCTACGAGCCAGATGCCTTCATGAAAGAAGACAGTAAGTTGTCTTGCAATGCAAGTGTAATAAAATACAGTGCACCCTCTAATTCCGAGACCTTAATTTGAGACCCCCTTTTCAAAGAATCAAATATTAACAATTTTCAATTTATTATCACTATAACCTTACTTGCTGTAGAGGCCAAACTCATGACCACCCCAAACTTTCAGGTCCCAGAAGTGGTCTCAAATTGGAAGGCGAACTGTAATCGCCCACTAAATGTTCAATAGAGTACAGACTTTAATGTGCCCTCCTTTTTGAATATTCAAACCCCTAAAAGAACTCTTCAAATTTGGTAAGCAATCATCACATGGGTTAAGTAAGTATTCTTATTATGCAAGTGTAATGCGAAATATGAATTCACTATTTAATAGACCACCCAGTTTGAATACGGTCTCCAGTTCGAATAAGCACCCCTAAAAGAGCCCTAGAAAATTTTGTAAGTGATAATCACATGGGTTCAGTAAGCACATTGTCTATTCAGTGAGTACTTACCTGGATCAACCCGTATGTATATCTATGTATTTATCTTCAATCATGTACCACCAACATAACTTCTGATTTGTGTAATTTGGTACTGTATATTCTAATCACATTGTCTTTAGTATTTTTCTATAACTTTGGCTGGGACGACTATGGTGTGCGTGCATTGCCCTCCATCTTGGATATGGTCAAGGTGATGGACTTTGCTGTCCAAGAAGGAAAGGTTAGATCTTTACCTGTCTTCATTCCTCATTACCAATTGTAGTATTTAAATTCATTGTGGGACAAGGGCTTAGCCAGCGAGCCATCCGGCCATCTTTTGGACGGCCAACAATTATTTAGGACGACCATTTTTACCGTGACGGCTTGGACGGTGTGGCCTACTAAGCTCCGCCTAGCCTAGTTAAATTCATTGTGGGATCAGTTTACTTTATGAAGCAGGAAATTCAAGGTGATCTCCCAATTGCAATGTACATTCCTGTACCCCTGCCTTAGCCGCTCCACCATTAAAACTTGCCTTATCGTTGCATACAAAACCATCACTTTTCAACGTGAAAAATTCTCTGCTCTTTGGTAGTATTTCTATTCATACATGGTGTTATGCATAGATAAATTTCAATAGACCGAATTAGTCACCAAAGATGACGTCATCGCGATTTCGCAGAGTGGGTATGAATTGTAAACATTTGCAAAAGAGCTATGCTAATGCATTGAGCGGAGTCGAAGGTGGTGTATATTAAACCGTCTAAAATGTAATGAAGTTAGCATAGAAGATACTTTTTTATAACAACGTATACATTTTGAATAATTCATAAATTCATGAGACAAGGTTGATTTGATTTAAATTTCCATTCAGACTGAAAATATGAAGAGTTTTGAGAGGCCTTCTAGAGGGCCTAGGCCAATAGCTCATGGGACTTGCCATAGGTCATTTTTTTGCAATTTGTGTATGAAACATTTAAACTATTGGACAAACTTAAATTGCTAAATTGTAGAATAAGATGTTTCTTTTGACTACAATGGCCAATGAGTCAGAAGAACATTGTTTGTATGACTAGTCTAGGGCTAAGCCCGTGTTCACACTACGAGGCTATGCAAACAAGTTTCCATCTGTTTATTTCACTCCACTTCAAATCTAAAGGGTCAAAAGGCTGGCGTTTATTATAGAAATATTTAGCAAGTCTTTTCGATAAGTTATTTTATGATAAAATGTGCAAATAAATAAGTTTGAGGAGTTTAAAAACTCTCGAAAATTTACTCGAGCGGAGGCTTGTTATTGTGTGAAAAACTACCACCTAGCAGTTTGTTTTAATGTTATACCCACTATAATAGCTTTGGTTTGGTGACTAATTTGGTCTGATAAAGTACTAATTTTTGTGTCTATGCCCCTCGTGGGCAAAGACACTATGTTGTCATGTACCTTATTACTGTACAAAAGTCATTAAAAAATACAACACCACACATTTTCTGATAACCGAATCCCATGTGGATACTTTATTAGTAAACATAATACAGTAAGACAGTATAGGGCATAGACACATGCTATCGCTGGGAGCCTATTTTTGTACTTTAGTCGCCCTGGTTTTATAGTGACAACCAATGAAATTTTTTCCAGCATTTTCTACCCTCCATGAGCAATTAATACATCTCCCTGGTGTCCTTAAATTAAATACCTTACATCAAAATCATCATCATGGTATACAGTCATTAGTATCATTTCAATTATCATTCAAATAGCTTGAAAGTATCGGTGTTATCATACATAATTATTATGTGTCTTCTTATCTTTCTCATACATAGTGAAATCACAGTTGATATGGATGCTATTTTTACAACACGATGTCTATTTTGCAAAATACAATAGCGCCCCCTAAATACTCTTTAGTGTTTGTAGGTGGCAGTGCACAGCCATGCTAGTCTGGGGGACTGCTGCTTTTACTGCTTATCGCAAAATACAATAGCACCCCCTATATTTTTGTATACTCTCTAATTCTAAGGTGAATGCCCTTTGTTGTTTGTAGGTGGCAGTGCATTGTCATGCTGGTCTGGGGAGGACTGGTGTTCTTATTGCATGTTATTTGATCTTCAATCGACGGATGGATGCAGACCACGCCATTCATTATGTACGAGAAAAAAGGTGATTCTTTGTGAATATATATCGTCACTCATGGTTGCATCTGAAACAGCATTTTTACCTCCAATTTATAGCGAATGAATATCAATCAAAATTTAATTACTGTTTATGAAATACAATTACAAGTTTTATAAAGAATTATTATTAGTATTGTTTTAATTATATTAATTTAGTGCTGCAATAAAAACCTATTAATATCTGTAGTATATTATTTACTATTTTTTGCATTATATAAATTAATGTAGTACAGTTTTTCCAATGCAGTTTATTCCAGATTATAGTGTTGCATATTTGTCTCCTTGTTGTAAGTATTCCGAGTAGACAATACACGTATTAGCATGCCTAAAGCTAATAAATTTTTGTATACATTTGCATTTTTGATTTATTATTCTTATAATTCAAGAGAGGGTTATGATGTTGCTTAGCAACTTGAGGTAATATTATTTATTGCAATACATAGAGCCTAGCACAGGATTTCATTATACCACTGTGAAAGATATATGAACTTAACATTGTCAATTTACTACTAATTTATAGCATAAAAGCTTTAACTCAATGCTTAACTCCAGTGATGTTGAGTTATAATGATGATCATTATAATATCATCAAACAAAATGATGTTATTTTGTTAAAATTATGGTGATACTAATTGTATTTTAATAAAAAAAGAAAGAAAAACTATATGTGACCTACTGTACAACTTTGAATAGAAGCCCCATGTGTTTAATCTCGAGAAGAAGCTCATCTCAAAAAGAAGCCCCCTCTTCAGTTTGCAAAAGTAATCTTGAAAAGAAGCCCATGGGCTTTTAATCAAGATAATATGCTTTTGAGATAGTACTTTACATTCAGACTGAATGTTATCTTTGATTATTATCATAGCGTGTTAATATCAATATTGTTTTATTGTATTAGCATGCTTAGATATTAAAGAGAATTTCGAATTTCATAGTTGACAAAATGTCGTATAGTAGAATTCCAAAATTTACAGCATTCATTTTGAAAAGAAGCCCCCCTCCCCCTTTTAAGTTTGCAAAAGTGATCTTGAAAAGAAGCCCATCTTGAAAAGAGGCCCATCTCAAAAGGAAGCCCATCCAAGAGTCTTAAAAAAAGAAAAAAATAACCCCAGGGCTTCTATTCAAGGTTTTGGAGTATATTATAACCAAAAACTGGCCACATCTTGTATTAAGTTACATAAACTATTTTTGGCCAGTGAAACTTCGAAGTCCAATCCAGTGAATGGGTGTTATAGACTAATGTCATTTATATCTGTTTGTCACTCTCACAGTTATTCTGATATTAAAAGTTATTTTTACGTATTCTTTTTAGATGCGGTGCAATACAGACAAAGGGACAGATGGAGTGTTGCCAGCAGTTTGCGCAATTCCTTATCCCCTTAAGGGTTGTGTTTTCCTCCTGGTGAGTCACCAATATAACTCATCCTTAACTAGAAGCAACAGTGCCTCATGCTATCACGTTAGCACTTGTTAATGTTCAGAACTAGGACTTCATTTCCCAATAGTATGAAGCACTATCAAAAAATATAAAGTAATTTTATCGCATGATTTCATTAATAATTAGTCACATTTCTAAGGATATGAATTTGTTCCTATTTAACTTATGTAAGCTGAACATTAGATAAAGTTATCATGCACAAATTTAAACTAAATATCATATTTTTTCAAATGTGCATAATAATTTTGGGAAAATGGTTCGTAATTCGGACTGTGGAAAATGTTTTTAATATGCAAGAAGGATTTTAGAACATCACAGGTATCCTTCCCTGGTAATATGACATCTCATGTCAGCATCTTTATCCATTCAAGCACCTATTCAATTTATTGAACCACTATTACAGAATTTTGTGAACTATTAGTGCATTATTGCTTTATCTTTATGTAAAACATACAAACACCACATTTAATTTCTTGTTTTAATTAATGTCAATAATTTATTTTCAAGTGATCCGTGTGCATTTCCGTTCACACTGGCACAGTATCTGAATCGACAGCGGTACATACTCCACGGAAGTGAACAACGGAGACTCAAGTATATTCCTAAGGTGAGTCTCATGTATGTTATTTTATTTGACAAAAAAATGTGCCATGCCTAAATATGGTCGCATGATGACATCACATCATGCCCATATATAGGCACATCATGACTATATATGGGCATTTAACAGTTTTTTGTCAAAGAAAATTTGATAGTGTGGACAGAGCCGTTTGGCGCAGTGGGGACGGTTTGATTTCCCAACCTCGAGGTCTGGGTTTCAATCTTTCGCTCTTTATTTTATTTTTGTCCTTGAGCAAGACACTTTATCTACATTGCTCCTCTCTACCCAGGCGTACAAATGGGTACCTGGTGGAGTTGCCTGCTTCTGTGCTGATTACCAGCAGCAACACTTAAAGCATGTGAACTTATTGACCAGGGAAAAGAACTGCGCTTTATAACCTCAAGGAAGAGGCGCATTATAAATGCCCATACCAGTAACCAGAGCTTTATAGTTTAAAGTGAAACCAAAAGATTCTTATGAGCTTTTTAATTCATTTGTTCTTGTTTTTATTGTCACATACAACTTTCAGCCTGGTAAGAATTTTTATTGCACTATTAATTAGTAACAAAAAATAAATAAATTATTAATTTAAAGATGAGCTGTTTTTGTTTATAATATAATAATTGAATAATGTAATAATATTGGAATTTCTAACTTTGTATTTTTAGATTTTTTAAAATTATAATATTAATACTTTAAATTAAATCTATAGATTGTATCTCTCGTCTGTCAACGATTGTTACAATTAGCAGCACGCAAACCGGTGGATTCATCCAATCAGACTGTTGAAAGTTATGATGTAAAAAAATGCCATCCAAAGGCATTCAAGGAAATGAGAAAAGATTCAATCGATTCAAATGATACTGAAAAGACAAGCAGAAGTCAAGACGACAACGACGGCTTCAAAAAACGTAAAAAAGTTTCACAATTACGCAAAATGCAAAGAAAATCATCCAGCGTGGAGCACTTGGTTGAGAGCTCCTCCAAGAAAAAAAATAAACAAGGACAAAAAAATAAATTTAGCTCAAGTAGAAAACAAACTTTAAAAGATAAGAATGCAAATGACTCTGAAGATGAATATTTTAATAGGTATAGACAGTCAAAACAGAATGTGAAAACTTTAAGTACAACATCAAGATCTTCCGACATGTTGCTCCAAAGCCATTTCAGTAGAAGTCAGTATATCCTGAGTGATGCTCTAAGCCTTGAGGATGATAGCAGTGTGGATGAAGTGTTTGTTGTTGCTAAGGCATTGGCATTTGATATTGATGGTAATCTGAAAGATGGAAACTCTGAGAAAAGGTCTGCTGTAGAGGTATGTATTTGAATATACAAGCAAGTCATAAACAATAAATAAATAAATAAATACAAATAAATGTTTATGCTTTGTTTACAGCACTGTTGTGGCTCCACAAATTTGCTGACATGGAGTCCAATTGTCTAACAGAGGCGCTGAACCAAGAGACCACATAGAGTATGAGTCAGGCTCCCAGGATAAAATCCCAGTTTGGGTTTACGGGGACAGATTCTATAATTTAATATTGCACAAAATTGTCCTTTTAGACCACATCATAGGGATTGGCAATCAAAATAATATTAAATTAATATTTTTTTTCTGATGATAGGAGAAGGGGAATGCTTGTCTGACGGGTGAGGGGAAATTCCCCTGACTCCCCACTGATGCCTATACTGTTATTCTATTGGGAAAGCCAATTTAATAGCAACAACATAACCTTAATTGATCAAAGTTTAGAGAAAGCTTTCCACAGACGAGAGAGAGTGAGTGTCCAGCAGAAACTACTGACAGAAAGTGACCCTTAGGAGAAAGAAAGTTCTGAGCTATTCAGCTGAGTTTAGCTAGGGGTCAGAGGTTATTTTCCTACTTCTAGCTATCAAATATCAAAATACATCATTAAAAACTCTGCAATGTTCGCTCAAGCCCCAGGCCACACATATTTCACATGTTTACTTTGATTGCAGTGTTGTTGACCTAGTTCTAGCTGTTATTGCTATTGTGTGAAATGATAAAATGGAAAGAAGTGGTACCATTTATAAAATAGCCATCATACATTTAATTTAAATATTAAATTGCTTAAAAGTAAACAAATCTCAATGATACATGCTGCAAAATGTCATATTTTTCTTTAAATTCAGTATTTTTTATACAAATCTCCTTAATTTGTCTGCTAGAAGTTGTACAGAATAACTGCTGTATATTTAATATGCTATATCTTTAAATATTATGATCGATCCATTTATTATTTGATTTATTGATTGGTTATTGACTGGGCCTCAGTTATTGGTGATTTAGTTCACTTTTAAATGTTCATGTAATAGTATTTATTGTGCTTGTACAAATATAATATTACATTAATGGGATGATCAGTTGATTAATTAACACTGTACTACTGAAGATAAAGTGTTACCTGAAATTTAGTGAATAGTATAATAATTTGAACTAATATTTTAAATATTTTTCTGCCTTTGCAGGGATTAAAACAAAGGGTTGAGTCGCTTCAGGTAAGGCAGTTAAGCCTTGTTTCTAGTAATATGATTAACATGTACTTCTATGGGGAATTTGGGTATTTACAGACTGTGTCTGGTTTATTAACAGTTTAATACAATTATAGAACGAGGGAAAAGATAATTTTGGTATTTGTGACTGCAATAGTAATGTAAGCATAATAATAACGATGACTGTTAACATCGGGAATCAATATGGGTAGCTGTGATAGTGCTAAAAACGCTTGCTGTTGTCCAAGCATAAAGTAAATCAATCCAAAATATTAAAAATCTACTTTTTGGGGCTAAAATAATTTTAGCATAGAGGAGCCCAAATATCTTAACCATTGATTTTTGCCCTGAATCAATATGGGTAAACGATGTTGGCTATGAACTAAAAATAGTACTAGGTCTGTGTGTCAAAATGCCTGACCTCATTTCCAAATGTCACCTTTCTTGGGTACGCTACACTTCATTTTGACCTAGTTTTCAAAAAATACTAGCGTTTCTATTTACACAGTAACTTTAGGTTTAATACGTCATCTCAATGAATATTACTATATATTTTCTTATCCTTCATTTTCAGATGAATTTAAATGCACATAACAACACATGGAATATCCTAACAACTGAGGAGGACCCGTTTGTACTCAGCTGCCTAATGTGGTCATGGCTCCATCACTTAAAGGTCAGTTGTACTCCTCAATGACGTATTAAAATCAGTGAGATTTATAGATAAACTGCTAGCCACTAGATTATTTAGTTGTAATAAAAAACCAATTCCTTTCATCTTCCTTAATTTCATAGCCATCTCTTCAACTCTTCTATAGTCTTCATCAGCTTCTTAGCCCATCCTCTTCTCTACCTCTTCACCCAGCTCCTTTCTTTTGCTTTTTGCTTGTAGTCCTCATTGGCAAGTCATCTTTCTCTCTTTACTTTCTCATTCAAGCTCCTCTCCTTTCCCATCTCTCCCATCTTATTTCTTCCTCACTTTCAGTCTTCTTTCTCCTTTTGCTCCAGCTCTTTCCCATCTCCTCACCCACCACCAAAGTTCATTGTCATAAGTAAGGTATGCACATCTTTAAAAGTAAGGATTTTATCATATAAATTAGTCTTAATGTATATATGTTGACAATTTCAGGAACCAGTACTTAGTGCAAAGGATGTAGAGCACCTATGTGATAATACAGACGACCCATGGGAAGCATTAGAGAGTTTTGATAAGGTGTGTTTTCTGCATTAGTTAAGTTAATGGTATAATTTCTATAACAGTACATACTTTATATTGGATTATGTGCATGCAATCAATTCAATGTGTATTTTATTTATATACCACATACATAAACCCTAGGCATCTGATTAGTCAAAAGTGCGGGAATAAAATTACTATGGTCCATTTCGCAGATTCCTTACTACTGCGTGCATTACTACAAAACCCTAAGCCTGCTAGGATGCGCTTACTGCGTAGAAGAAATTCAAACTCTAGGCCTGGTATGGGGTTATGCCAAGTAGGAGTTTGTTGTAACTTTTATTAGTCTAGGCCTACAAAACCAACTTTCATCGCCATTGTTATATTATAATTAGAACACTAGAAAGAACAAGGAAAAAACTAAGTAAATGGAGATAATACTATTTCTATGTGCCTTCTTGTTTGGTTAGAGGTGCAGTAGGCCTAACTTACCTTAGACCAGGCTTTACTAGTTGTACAGTGCTAGGCGTATGACTAGGGTGTTCTAAGCCTTAGACCAGGCTTTACTAACTGCACAGTGCTAGGCTTACGACTAGGTTGTTCTATAAGCCTTAGACCATGGCTTTGCTAACTGCACAATGCTAGGCTTACGACTGGGGTGTTATAGGACCATGTGTGTGGTATATAAAACAAGTATTGCCTTTTTTTTTAGCATGATTAAAGCTATATTCCTTGGTGATGATGTTGATCTCAAGACTGTACTATGCCCCTCAACTTCATCTCAGGGAATAGTACAATCAATATCACCTTGGTTCCATGCCCCTCAAAGGAGTGAATATGTGTATATTATACCTATTGTATAAAGTAGTTATTATGTATTCATATTATGTATGTATGTATGAGTTTTGGTCTCAACAAATAGAATCTCTAATGTGTAAAATGTAAATTCCACATCTGTTGTCATTTCAAAGCATTTGCATTTTACTTCTCAATTTCTAGGGGTTAAAAAACACAATGCTCTGTATTGTCAATGTATTAGCTTGCCTTCGACCACTTAGCCAGAAACTAGAGAAGTCAGCTCTTACCAGAATTGTTTATGGACTAACTCATGCTGAAGTAATATCACATCACAAACTTTTCTACAACCAATTTACTGATGAATTCTTGGTGAATTTAGTGGGGGCGCTACAGATGGCAGCTTCTAACAAGACAAGAAATGTTCAAAAAACTGAGAAGTTTCAGCAGATGAAAATAAAGAAATTAAGAGAAAAACCTTCTCATAAGTACCACAGTGAAAGTGAGGAAGATGAAGATGAGGAAGACACCGATAATGAGGATAAACAAGAGGAGGAGGATGAAGATACTGAAGAGGAAGAAGTCAAGAAAATTTCTAAAAAGAAATTTTTGAAAAGGAATAAGTCCAAACCACCTTTGCTAGAACTTTTTTAAGTCAGTTTCTACTGCTCTGTCCACACTAACAAATTTAATATGATTGTGATTTGCCCATATATTGTTGTGAAATGACATCATCATGCCCATATATGGTTTTTGAATAGACTTTGTCATGCCCATATATGGCTGTTAAATGAATCATGCCCATATATGGTTGTAAAATGGAATCATGCCCATATATGTGGCAAAGACAAGCCAAACCAGTCACTCGTCGCAAATCGTGTTTCAGAGAAAATGGCCAAAACATGCTGGAATGTCAAATTTTTAAAAATCTATTTTATTGCACTAAACTAATCTTTACATATCTATACATCATTCTATGCTGTTATTTTCCCCATTTTCAATGTTAAAACAACACTTTTTAAGGATTTCATGATAGTTTCTGCATGAGAAATGCCTGAAATCATAAATTTTTAAGGCTGATTTCTCATATATTGTTCTTTAAACAGCTGTTTGTTTAAACGCTTGTAACTTCATAAGGAAATGTCCGATTTGAATGATTTTTTTACCATTTTATAGCTATTATTTTACTTTCTAACACTGTATTAATAACTCAAAATCGATTTTTGTGTCGAGTGACTGGTTTGGCTTGTCTTTGCCACATATGGTTGTGAAATGACATCATTATGCCCATATTTGGTCAAATTATGCAAATTTCTCACAAAAACCTGATAGTGTGGACATATCTTTGCACTAAAGACTGCATTTGCCTTGATGATAATTTGTTATTTTTAAACTTTCAGTTCAATCATCTTGAGACAATGTTAAAGAGCTACTTAGAAATACCAGACAATCATATTGTTGTTATTAATATTTTTTAACAAATGATTTGTGTTGTTTTCTAACAAAATTGTGTAACTGACAAGCACCTTGATTTTTTCTCTCTTTTGTAGTGATTTCACTACTTTTATTTCCAATAAATTACATTTTTCGATGTTAAAACATCTTAAGTTTATATAAGATTAACATACATGAGAATATTTAAAAACACACATGGTGCTCATGACAAGCACCTAGATTTTATTACTTATGATAAATGGTACCTTTTATATCAATCAGTATATTACATGCATTATTAATGTTCATCTATATTGCACCCTTTCCCTTTTTGGCCTCAAAATTCGAATGGAAAGTTAGGCCTAAATAGCAGATTTACAGGATCAACTGTTTTATTAACTTTCAGTGATACACTTACCAAAGGGCAAAGGTTACCACTGATTTACAGATCTTTTACCAGCTATATCTTTATCAGCCAATTCAATTTGCAAAGAACACATTTCTTAGACTAATATTTTAATTGAAAGTACTTACTTATTAGGAATTTACAAAGTTAGCAATCTGATTAATGGTATTATTTTCATGTTTCTTTATCAACACAGATAATACATTTTCAAACAATGTACATTTGTAATTATATAATGTATAACTATAATACTAAATTATATTCATGTAATTATTTATAATAATAATAACAGTATTCAAGATTATTGTTTATTGAAACAGTGTAATTTAGATATATTTAATGTGCAATGTTATTGTAATAAAATAAAGGGTCCATTATCTTAACCTTTGTCAAAAAATTATAATAATGCTTAATAATGGTTAATATATACAGTAGTCAAAGTATGGTAAAAACAGTGCTCAAATAAGGGAGAATGAAGTGAAAATTGCATTGGACCCAATATAGGTAATTTCCATAATTTTCGATTGACATCTAGTCAATGGTTAGTAGATTTGCTTCACTTTGCCTGTGTGATTTTTACTTGTTTTTTTGTTTCTTTAACATATCAATGGCAGTTTCAAGGGGGGCCCCAAGTGGGTCTCCCCATCCCCTTCCCCAGTCCATTTTGGCCATCTAGAGGTGCCAAAATTGTAAATTTCATACCTCGGCCCCAACGATTCTGGGGCTGAGGTGGTGTAGACACTCCACCCTTCCTTGGCCCTCTAGATCTGCTACTGCATATTCAGTTGCATAATTTATATTGTATTACTTTACAGTTGTTATTGTTGTAATGAAAACTATCCATACTATTATTTTTTTTTATCATCATCATTAATTTGAGTGAGCCAAATGGCCGAGCGGTTAAGGCAGAGGCACCGTGATCATAGCCAACAATATCGGCACGGGTTCCCGGCAAGCTCGCTCCTATAGTTCTGGTGGTGGAACAAGTCTTTTCGGATAAGGACTATAAACCGTAGGCCCAGTGTACACAAATGCTCATGTGCACTTTAAAAAACCCAGTACATCTTTTGAGATGAGTAGGGGTTACCCCGGTGTACATGATCACTTGGCCCCTGTCATGGAAAGATGAAAGTGCGCCAGCTTACAGGCTGCAGATGACATGAAGTGACCCTCAGGGGAGGAGAAATTTATTGAAAAGTGCAACATCTAGTCCCGAGCGCATAGAGACCTTGTTTTTTGCACTATATAAATCCATCTATTATTATTATTATTTTGTTTTATTTTTTCCTTTTAATTGACTTTCTAATCATCATGATTTATGTGTGAACTTAACCCATGACGTCATATGTTATATGCAAATCATTTTGTAAATAATATTTAAGAAATCATTTACATACATTTAGTTCTCTATTGAATATCATAGACTGGTACTACTCCAGTAGTATTCTGTTGTTTGCCGTCCATTTGTATATCTTATGCATAGTTTATGACTGCTTTAATCATTTTATTTTATGTGGTTGGACTCAAAATTGAACTGTAGGCCTACATTTATTATTTGTTTCAGCGATGCTTTGTGTTGATATGTGATCGTATAGTATTAAATATATTACAGTATTTTTATTTTATTATTATTAATATAATTATTTTTATTATAAATATAATGATATGTAGCTTGGTGGTTAAGATGCTTGCCTTCAAATTAAGGGTTCTGTGGTCGAATCTTGTCAACACCAGAATATGTTTTGACAACCTCAAATAGATCCACTCCCATAAAAGTGTAACAGTTTTCCTAATTATAATAAATATTTTGTTGAGTGAATGGGATATGGATTGGGGTTAGCGGCGGCACCATGAATTCTCTGACAGGGGTGGAAGAGTAGTCTAATTCCCCACTGGTGCCGCTGCTGGTGGGGAATCTGATGTCTGTATTTCCATTTTCCATTGCTTTGTACACGTAAATATGAGTAATTCCAGAAGTTGGTTAATAAAAGAAAACATACGATACATAATTGTGACTGATTATTGATTATGGAAGTAATTTTATGTTTTACTTTTAAATATACATTTGTGATCATAAGGTAAAGGTCGCAGAATAACCCACAACCAGGGCACTGTGCTGAATTGCGTATGGGCGTGGTCTGTGACTACCTAGCAGCCGTAAAGAAGTGCTTATAGTAGTTACATATCCACATCATTCCACAACGACAGGGGCTGAAATAAACCATAACATCGGGGTAACCCCCTACTCTTCCTAAAGATGCAATCGTGTGAGCCAAATGTATACACTGGGCCTCCATTTTAGGCCCTTATCCGAGAAGACTTGATTCTACCAACCAAATTCTGGGCAAGGAGTAATAACAAGTAATGATTTACATTTAACATGTTAATCAATAGCTATGTTTTTAATGTGTAGCGCTCTGGTCTCTTTTTGAAGGGCGCCTAATTAATTACTGTTATAACAGGTAAGATCTCTATGAATAATAACGAGTGCGTGTTAAATAAAGTCATTCATACCGTATACACATTAGAAACATGTGTACCGTAGAAACATATTTGCATCAACAAAAACTGCTAGTAGCAATCATTTGGTCAAACAAGAAATCTAAATCAAATTCCACTGCTATGGCAGCATATCTGCAATGTAGTGAAATAGAATGTTGATAAGTAAAAAAAATAAATCTACGGTAACCCAAATAAATATGAAAGTGAAGCCTCATTTTATTATTCGATAACCTATTTTGCTTTTACAAAAACAGCAAACAATTAGTAGAAGAAATAATCTAATTATTGTTTAATTTACCAACATACGGTGTAATTTAGTATTGACAATAGATAAAGCGCTTGTAGTTTATTCATGGACCTATTAATAAGGTTATTAAATTATTAATAGGTCCATGGTTTATCACGGAAGCGTTAGGAAAAATCTCGAATCTCACAATCTGTTTTCTGTCAATAAATTATAAGCAAACACGGATGTCTAGTTGTCAAGTCTCCGCCTTTTATCCTCCCTTCAGGTTGTTAAATGGATGCATAGATTTGACATGTATTCGGGGAATAAAAACAGAAAAGGCTGTGTTTAGTTTGTTGTACACTAATTCCCGTAACGATATGGAAGGCTGCGATTGGCTCGATGTTCCTGTGGTTGTTAATTATTCAATCTGAACTAAACGAACACTCGTCAAACCTCGGGTGTGTTTTTTTAATAAAGAAAGGTTCAAAGTTTTTAAATTTGAAAATATACTAAGGGGAATTTATTTTTTTCATAAACTTTCCTGTATCTAATTAAAATTAGATAAAAACGAGACATTCACATTTCAGTTTCATTTTTGTTTATCTGTTGTTCAGAAGTAGTACGGTATTTTACATTCTCCTTACAAATCTGTGATCAAAAATACAATCTTGTTCATGTAGGGCAAATTCCTAAATGTATAATATCTTGCTTGTCTACCACATATTGGGAGGGGTCTGGTGTAACAGGGAGTTAGGCCGTTCCCCCCCCCCCCCAAACCATTTAACCAGCATTGTGAATTCTGGTCCTAAAATAGTAAAACGTTATTTCATATAGATCCTGATATATTTCTTACTACTGAATTTTAGATTTTCAATATTCCGTATGTTCTTCAGACTTGGTGGTTATATTGCCTTACTTTAAATGTGCTATGACGAATTAATACGTTTAATGCATGACTAATTAATTTGACTTCAAGGCTTAATTAACCGGTTTGTAGGGCTATTTTTCATTTATTCCAGACATAATTTGTTTGCCAGAATCTCTGAATATTGGGAAAAATAACAAGTTGCCTATTCTTTTTGGAGGGCGAATAGTCAAATGACGTCATCGATTGGTACACGGGTAGTCTTGTATTGGATTCTATAATTCGTGACACATATATTTCTGAGTTTGCCAAACTTGTCCTATATAAAATGTTGCAAATAAACAATAGGTCCTTTTTGGTACCACGTTAATGGGGACATGGTCGGGGCCATCAACGACGAAATAATAATTAACGCGTGTACCGATATTTTGATTTGTAAGATTCCTTCTCAGAATTGAAGGCCTGCTTCAAGGGATGTGCATTTATGTATTTATTTAACGCTGCATACGCCGCACGAATCGGCTCTTTTCTGCTGTTCTCTGATCTTGGATTCATTTAAGCTAATCAATAAATATACGCACCTGCACCTCTGCATTTGGAGTCCATGTGTGAACATGCATCTTCGTAATCCTCTTTCAGCTCTGGTGTTAATTTCCGACCTAAGTTTTCAGATCTTATGATCGCATGCCCCTTAAATCCCTAAATCACCAGAGCTTCCGGGGCTTTCCCCATGGACCCCATCGGGGTCGCTGTATGTCTGTCATCATTTGTAAGAGTAAAGAGTAAACACTTTATTATTACAGATGTTACTGACATTTATGACATGTTTACGGATGAAATACTAAAGTTGATAAAGTAAGCCCTTTAAATCTCTACATTTCCGAAGATTCCGTGCCCCGCCCCCTTGATCTTCAGTTTCTAAATTTGGGGTATTTGCCAACTGTCCTCAGCACAGGTGTTACCCTTACTCCTCTGTTTCACAGATTATAATATATGCAGTATTAAATTTAATGTTAAATTTAAGTTGTGAGTTTCTTTAATCCGATCTGTAGGCCTTTTAGGAAACGGAACTACTGGAGTAGCTTACTCAACTTCACAGACATTCTCAGCACCACATCCTAAGTGACATCGGGATGATATTATGTCCTTTGAGACAGTGTAGGGACCATAATGTCAGGAATGTCAAGGTTGAAATATCTAATATTATTTTGCAACTGTAAGTAGGCCTACTGTATGCTGTATAATCAGGAAATTGTAACACTTTGATACATTCTCTTCGCTGGTTATCAAAATAGGTCACATGTTAAATATGACATTATTAGGAAACGAATTGAGAAATATTTGTCGTCAATTGAAATGACTCTCTGGCTTAATGCAGTGTGGATTTAAAGAAATAATACAATTTTGCTTCTTTTTTCTTAATTCATTCCAGACTGAAAATACGATCATGTATACCATGAACAGTTTGATTTAATTAATTTACATTGGGAAAATATTATTTAAAATTGAGTGAAAACGAGATACGGAAAGGTAACAAAAGAAATTTGAATGAGTAATTAAATAAAAAGAATACGTATTTATGTTTCATTAGCGCGAAGGTTTGAATTATGTGGCGAATCGTGTTAGTTATAGGCGACCCAGACTTCCTGTGGAGAAACTCTGCTTGGATTCGATATAGTCGTCATACCAGGCTTGTCTGTTTACTCGTTCGTTTATTCATTGCTGTCTGAGTGTTTTTCTTCATACGGCAACACCTCCTCAAAGTCTGTAACCGATACTTGCCGGGTGCCACTCTAGGCCAGCTTGGATTTATAGGACCGAAGTGATCCGACATTTTTTTGTTGCAGTTTGTAGCATAAACGTCGTAATGGACATTTTACTGTATGCTATAGTTCTTAGCATTCTAAAGAGGTAGGTGGAAAGTTTTGTAATTTTCATATAAAAGGAAAACAAAATGTGTTCCGCAATAGTGTTTAAAGAGAGTTAACATTCCTATCATATGTTACTGTTACTTTCTCGGGAAAAAAAGTAAAGTGGGGTATATGGTTTATGAGTAGAGATCAACACTTTTTACACTGTCAATAGACTTTTAAAAATCGGATTGTTTACTAAATTTCCATCGCACTGAAATGTTGAAAATAATTATAAATAAGTGAGTTTGGTTGTAACTTTTCACATTTTTTTCTTTCCTAATTGCCGGGCCTGCATTAATTAGAATGAAACAAAATGTATGTCTACGTTTAGAGGGAGAAGAACTATATATATATACAAGATAGTGGCGTATCCAGGATTTTGAACAGGGGTTACTGAATTTTACGCAAGGTGTAAAATGAGGGACAGAGCATATCAATGGTTATGGTTACACCGATGGCTATGGCTTAACATTAAAGTAACTTACTTTGCCATTTAGTTTCCTTAATTTACTATTACTTTTTTCATGTTTGAACCAAAATGTGTGTGCGCGTGCGCTAAACAACGAGGATCCGTTAAAACCTTTGGTCTTTGGCTGTGCTCATTGTGTTGAGCTGGAGGACCGAAATGCGAATTATTTACCGCATACTCTTGCGGAAGAGACATTTAGCAGTTAGTTCTGTGCCTAATATGGCGCATGTGCATATACAGTACTTAAAAGTTAGCTTTTCTTATAGCACATCATAAAAGACATAATATCAATAGCCATAAATTGACTATTTCTTATATAAACTCAGTAAAACTTATATTAAATATTATTCCGTTTTATTTATGACATCATAATACAACAATGACATTCTATCAAGTATCAATTGGGACATCCAATACCATAGTTTTATTTATATATCATTTGGGACTTTCATTGCTTCATAAAAAAGCGTCTTTATGAGGCGTTGGAAGGGGATGTTTGAGCATTTGGGACACTTCATGTTCTATAACAAGTCTCTTTTATATAATGTATTGCATTGTGAGAGTTGAAAGTTGATCATTTGGGAACTACAGTATATGCTCTATGTTTTAGTGGCCTGGAATGTGCAGTGGATCATCTGGGAACTTTTGGTGACCAGTCTCAAAGTCTCTTTGTACAGTAAGATTTGGGAGTGGAGACAACTACAATGCTCTAGTCTACTACACTTCTTTTTTTTTTTTAATAAGAACACATTTTATAAAAACACCGAGGCTGAAATTGCTTAAAAATTAAGAACAAAATATGAACAAATTGAGGCTGAGGTAAAATGTCAAATGAGGTTTTTGAAAAACCAAAAAATGATATCTGTACCTTACAGTACCGTTCATAAATGCTGCACGTTTTAGACGCATCTGACGCATCCTGAATTCGTCCACGATGCGTCCTGAATACGTCCGAAATCTGGACGCGTCTAACGCTAATAACGGTGCAGACAAACTGTTTATTCTGTCTCTTATACACATCTAGATGTGTATAAGAGACAGCGGTATGTAAATGAGGAAAATGCAAACCAAAATCGAAATGTCCATAATAATCAATGGTTTACTTTTTAAAATTAATTTGTTAAAAATTCCAAAATGATGTAATCTGTTATTTTCCTCTTGTTAATCAGTAATTAAGATCAGTTTGACCCATTCTTTTTATTGTACAAGCTTCTTGTAGTACGCCAAATTTTTTTTCAAACTGAAATAGACCTGAAATTTCACCTTGATCGACTGTGAACTTGAGCAGTAATATCCTTTAATTATCCAGTTGTATATTATTGTACCAGTACCGTCTTTTACTTGCGTAAGTTTACTTGCGTAAGTAATTGGTTGTTTATTTATGTGCGATTTCTGACATAAAATACACAATAAATCAGCTATATTAAACAAGCTTTCGTCCCATTCAAAATGAGGTTAGTAATAATTATTCCGAGTTTGTGTAAACATTCAAAAGTGAATAACCGATCGTTCAATTGGATGTCATGCAACGTTTATAACGTTTTTGTTACTTTATACCTTGTTCGACAAATACACAGAATCTCACTTAAATCACCGACTGGTAATATTATCAAATGTTGTAATGAATTTAAGTTGGTCAACATATTTAACATTAAAATAGTACTAAACTCAGATCTATGGAAATGTTTATTATCATCATCATCTTCATAAATATCATGATCATCATCGTCGTTATCGTCGTCATCGTAATCCTTACCACCACCATCATATAAACAACAACATCACTATCATAATAAAAGAAAAAAGCCTTTATCATTATAATTAACATCGTCTTCATCAACATCAACATCATTATCAAAATCATCATCAAAATCATCATCAAAATCATTTTTCAACATGAACACCAGCATTGACATCGTAATAATGACAACATTATTATCAGTAGTGTCATTATCAAAATCCCCAAATCACATTCTGTGTGCTGATTTTAGTGGAGTTGTGGTTCTTTAAAGGCCAACTCAGACAGCGTCGGCCGACGCAGCCCGACGCGATTTGTTGTCGCGTCGGGTCTGTGTGAGTTGAACGCAGACGCGATGGTGTGCGTCGGGGGGTGGCGTAGTAGAATATTAAACGTGTTTAATATTTCTCACGACGGCTTAAGACTGTCCCCGACGATAAATCGGGTCGGGCTGCGTCGGCCGACGCTGTCTGAGTTGGCCTTAAGACGCTCAAATCTCAATTTTAAAGGCCCTTGGTTAAATCACTACAAGCCTCATGAAGATAGCATTGGAGTATCGATCGATCGATCGATTATTTGTAATTGGTGTTGGATGATCTGCATAATTTTTAATGAGATATTATCGATCTGCCTGTTATTATAATGTTTCTGTATCACTATTGTATATTATTCCCATCGTCGTGTTTGGAAATATAAAACTAACTAGCATACAATACGGTAACAGTTTCCGAAATGTTTTATTACTTCAACCATCAACTCCTTGTTAACATAATCCGTCCTTAAACTCAAGAGTTGTTTTCTGACTTGAGTTAAATAATTACCGAATACTTTCATGTTTTGGAAGACATTTGATACACCATGGAGGTTTAACATTATACCTAGCTCTATTGATAGGCCTATAAATTATGAAGTAAAATGCTTAATGGCAATTCGACAGTATTTTTTTTTTACTTCAGCAATGCCATGTGATTTTTTTTTAACTAGAACTGAATGTTCGTACTTCAAGTGGCCTTACAAGTCACCAGTTACAGTAACATTTTGTTACTTTTGCAACTGAGAAATGTGGACAAATTTAGTAGGAAATAAAGCTGACAATCGAAGTTTTTCATCGAATAAAAATATCGGATTTACATTAATGTGAGCCAAAAATAAAATTATCATTGAAAATATGAAAATGTTATATTTGTTATCAATTTTTTCAATTATATTTTAGTGCTTATGGAGATGACTGCCCTTGCCTGGGACGGGATAATGCAAGACTTGCCACATTCGAGTGCTCAGCCACCCAACAATGCCCTTCAAATGCTAAGAGCATCCAGGATTACTGCGGATGCGGTTGTCAAGTCTGCACCAAGGTTAGCTACTTAAACGTAGTGCTATTAATAATTTAATATCATGACGTCACTTAACTTCCAGTAACAAATTTGGAGTCATTCCATTGCTCAATATTAGTCACTGAATGAGACAATGTACGACAATCAATGTGAGTATACTTGTACCATTGGACATACCACGATCATTGTCTAATCTATAAATAGATTTATTCTTTCATTTTATTTTCTTATTCACATCCAACGGCATATCTCGCCAATTACAGAATGGGCAATGATTGATATAGCCTTACGAGGCTTAGGAAATGGAGTTGTTTGTAGTCGTGAGAACAGATCTGCTGATGCAGGAATTGAACCGAGGTCCATGGAATTAGAAGCTGTGGTGGATTTAAAGGGGCGTAAGGGGGCGTACGCCCCCTCTATTTTTTCTAAAAATTGTTTTGTTAAGCTTATAATATAATTACCATGATAAATAGTAAAAATAAATTAAATAAAAACTCAAATTAATGAAGGTGCTAGAGGTTAGGGGAATTCACCCATTGAACCCCTACCATGCGAATGATAGCATCTTGACTACTAAGCAAATCAACTTAAATATTGTAGCAATCATGAAGTTTTCCATCATCTGATGTTGTTATGGGATTAGAAGGCAATCATCTTAGCCACTAATAAGCTATTTAACTAAAATCTTGTAGCCGATCATGAAGTTTCCCATCAAGTTTTGTTGACATATTCTATATATAGGCCTAATAAGTTACAAAAGCAACACTATTCAGTTTGCTCTCAAAGTTATTTTTATTTGAATCACATTCTAGTTAAATAAAAAATATATAAATAAATATATTATATATAAGATTTTTTTATTTGAACCAGATCTATTTAAATAAAAATATACATAAATAAATATTGTGTATAAGTTTTGTATTTGAACCAAATTCTAGTTAAATAAAAAATATATATAGGCCTAAATATATTAAAAATTATTTTTTTATTTGAACCAAATTCTAGCTAAATAAAAAAATATATAAATAAATATATATACTGTATTATATCTGTCTCTTATACAGGTCGGATAAATAATATCACGATATTGCATTTCCGGAACAAGTTTTAACTTTATGAAAAACAATAGACAAATCGGAAATAAATCAAACGCGACAATATATCTCAACGGACACTCAATAATATTCCGGTTATAAAATCACGATATGATGTGACACGAGTCAGTGCCCTTTCAAACAAGATTTTATTTTTTTACACATATAGTAATCGCTTCTATGTAAATCCGGTTTCATTTTCGACGATAAATTTACCTTCAAATAATTTGATTATGTACCTTGTAAATTGCTATGTAATTTCTTTTTTATTGATTATTATACGTGCTTGCAACGTCCGATCCGCTATCCGCTATATAAAGAATAATGAAAACATTGTTATTTGTTTAATCCCATGGTAAAGTTTACACAGCTTTAGTGACTTTTTAAAAACACAGTGACATCACCACATGTGTCAGTAGGCTACCTTTAGTTCGCAGTGTATGACTACCCTCCAATTCTTACAACAAACATCTGAATTGTGCCGCGGCACCGCTAATAATTAAAATTAGGGTACACACTAGGAAACTACCCTTACATGGATCACTTACTGCCTGACGTCATAGTAGCGCTCAGAGTAACTCTACACGTATGTTTGTAAACGCGTTCACACTTAAAAGTCCAAGGTTTGTCTAGTGTAGCGTTGCTCTCGTTTGCGTAATGCATTGCTCTAGTGTTAATCAATTTGTGCATATACGTGTTCGTTTTTAGGTTCTTATCCATATAGTCATTTGGAAACATACTCCAGTTATTATATCGTTAAAAATAAACAATAAAGATAATATGGATCGGATATTTTCCAGTGACCATGTTTAATCTGTATCTGTATCGTCGCATTTCTTATCTAGGCGCAACTGCTTAATATTACAAATTAGCTATATTTCCTGGTTAAAAAATGTTTGAGTGTGACCATTACAAACCCATAGCCTCGGGAAGGCTTCACATTCTGCGTTCTCTGTATCCTGTATAAGTTTCTGTGATATTTCCTAGATAAGCAACCGTACTACTCACAGGAAATATCGCGTGCCAACTAATTTCATAGATTATAAACTTGAAATATATTTCGAATTATACAAATTACGACTAACATTAGCTAATAACTTTTTTTTTTTATGGCACAATGCGTACTTAAGTTGGCCTAGATATATTATTATAAACTCATCCTTAAACGTAAGTTTCATTTTATGGGAACCCTGTGAGAAACGTTGCAGTATTCCTCGCTGAATATTCCGTATGTATAATAGTATTACAGAATCGAATTATTATTTATTATTTATTTACTTTTGTTTATTTATTTAGGCACGCAACACATGCACCAAGGATTGTCAACAGCGAATATATCACTGTCCTACTTGTGACAATCCCTTTCACAAGACCAACATATGCACAATGCTTTACACAAACTAAATCTCAATTATGAGGCTTAGAGAGTAGAAAAAAATCCTGCTAAACTGACCAGTGGTGGCGCCAGAGCGGGCCTCAGGGGGTTATAGCACCCCCATCGGGGAAGACGAGCAAATTCTGTCGAGGAATAAACAAATAAAAAAAATTATTTATATGTAATGTTCGTTTAGCCTCCATATTGCTTTCATTGAACTATTTGTGTTAACTTTTCATTACAACAACAATAATAATAATAATAATAATAATAATAATAATAATAATAATAATAATAATAATAATAATAATAATAATAATAATAGTTCATTTAGACTAATTTAAAATGATTTGCGTTCTGTTATGATAAATGCTCGCTTGGATAGCCTCATGGTGCTTGGAATACATCGTGATAAGGGAAGCAACCTCGACCTTGACAGCGTGGTTGACAAATTTCATGCAAAATTTCCAAAATGTAGGATTTCACATTGAAGAATGAGCATTTGAAAATAAATTAGATGGTTACATTGCATACTCTTTGTTTCTTATTTTATTCAAAATGTTTTGGCTTTGGAAGCTGATTTCGACATTAGAAACATACATGAAGTCATAGGCATATTATAGTAGCTCGATGCTTATCAAGTAAGTAATAAAAATTCGCCATAATTTGTCAAATATCCGTGGCTTCTCGGGGTCTTCGCCCCGGACCCCCACTGGGGCCCTAAGAGGCCCCAGCGAAGTAAGGCTCGCTTCGCTGGGTGAGCCCCCCACCCCCACTCCGTCAGGGCCTTTAGCTCCTCCGTCGGGCAGATCCTGGCACCATCACTAACACTGACAGGAATTGAACCCAGGATATTGGGATTGGAAGGCAATCATCTTAACCACCAAGATATTCAACTCCACTCCAGCTATTCAACTCCACTCCGGTGTAAACTTCTGTTTTTGCTAAGATTAATTTTAATTCAGTATATTTTCATTAGATTAGTTTTTCCTGTTGAACCATTTTTTTATCGTTAGAGAATAACTTGCGGGGTTCCAAAACTTGGAAAGACTAGGGTCGTAGCTGCTTTGTTTCCCTGGAAGTCTTTATTTTGTTGATATAGAGCCTAATTTTGTCTGTCAGTTTTGTTTTCTTTGGTCGTGTTTTTCCATTGAACTCATGGGTTTCGATTCAAGGCAACTGTTTATATCATGGATTTTATTACGTAGAAATATTTGTGGTTTATAACAATTTTTTCACGTCCGTTTTATTTAACGCAACTGATGCTGTCATCCAAATATACAAGCTGCATCCAAAGTGTACGATTAGCCCAACTGAAATATATTTTCAAACTAACAAATCACTGTAGACATTTTTTTTTATACCACCATTCAAGATAATGCAAATACGAGATGTGCTTTCTTAAATAACAATTGTGTGTGTCCCCAGGATGTCGGTCAGTCGTGTGGGGGAATTTTATCAAGATCTGGAACATGCTCTCCTGGTCTGGTTTGTGCAAACGCTAGAAACAATAACCAAATAGATTTTAAAAACAAGGCAGTTGGTGTTTGCATTGAAGGTATCGATTTTATTTTTATTTTGTTTGTCTTTTACCAAAGATTATTACTAAAATTTTGTATAGCCTAATACTGTTGTATATAAAAAAAAATTATGAAAACTTGCAGATAATCAACTATAGGTGGCACTGTTGATTTTTTTAAATATTAACTTATAAAGTTTCTATTTGTTTACTTCACAGTTATATAATAATAATAATAATAATAATAATAATAATAATAATAATAATAATAATAATAAATATAGTTATAATTATAACTTTACAATGGCAGAAACTTTTATCTCCCAATAAGTGTTTTTCTACAATCTAGTAAGAATGATATAAACAAAAATACTAACAAAAAGTTGTTTAAAAAATATTTATATTGTGTTAAATTAAAGATAATGCAGGTTTTTGCAATAATATACAATCGCTTACAAAATGATCTACTTCATATTTTCTTTCTCAGAGTCAAAAATCAACAAACCTGCTAAAAAATCAAAATGCGGAAAAAGCATAGCAGTGAAAAAGTTTACAAGTGGAGTTATATACGATTACCTGCATGGAAATGAGAAATCATGTAGTTACAGATTTAAAGGACGACGAAATCAAAGAGTTTATGCATCAATTAGACACGTCAGTTTCTTAGGAAAGCAGTCTAAAAAATGCATACCCAAGTTTACGCTGAGAGATTTCAGCGTAAAAAACAAGCAAAGTGAAGTAGGCATAATTTGTACCCATAATGACCTCTTGGAAAAGGGAAGTTTCACGTCTTCAAGTCCAAAATCACAGATTATGTACAAGGGACCTTCGAAAAAACCCGGATATGTTGTGATCGAATTCCGATTTCTAAACGAAGGTGAAACGGTAACTGTAGCACCAGTAACTGTAGCACCACCAACAGGTAAGATATTCAGATAATTTTACTACCTCACTCCCTGGAAGCAGGAGTTATATCTCAGTCATCACTCACGCAAGCGCTTGTACATTAATTACCGTACGGAATACTTTAGATCGTGTTTTAGCAGAGGATCGTCCCGACAACCCAGCGCGGCCACTGTGAATAATGAAATTATGCTATTGGCTGGAGTAAAATTATGCTACGGAATGCTACGCCTCAAATTGTGGATATATACACGAATGTTTTGTTACTTAATTACACGGCAGTCGAGTATGCGGTAATTTTGTAGTTAAAAATATAATACAATACAATACCTATGGATCATCGGAAATGACACTCTCAGACTTTTTTTGCAATATATTCTTCTAAATGTAACAACTATTACATTCATTCTAAATTATGCTACATTATGCCACCTTTTCATGAAATTATGTGGGTATCCAAATTATGTCTAAAAGCATAATAATATGCTACGCATACGCACAACAAACGCAGGCTGGATGACTGATAGTTCAGAATTCAGAGGCCGAGATGAAATTGATGGCATGATAAAAATTGACGAATGACATATAATTTTTAATTTAATGGTTTATATTATAAACGGATTGAGACAACATCTGAAAAAGGAGTTTACTATGTTAACAACCAAATCTGTTATGGGGATGTTTACAAGTACTAACTCATTTGTTTTCATACTATATAATTTTGTTTAGTTACAAGGGCGCCACCAGTAGAACGTAGAGTAAGGTATGTAGTTTTTCTTGTAGCATCGTTGATACCATTATTTTTATGAAGGCTTATTATTAGCATTATTATTATTAATGTTATTATTATTGCTAGTGTTATTATTATTGTAATTATCATATTCATTATCCATATTATTTTATTATCATCATTTTATCATTATTACTACATCTGATATAAGTTGTAATTCTTCGTTTTATTCCTAGTTGTGCAGCGTCGCAAGATGGGTCTTACATGTTCTCAAACCCATCATGTGATAGTGATGGAAACTTCATGCGCCTCCAGTGTCAGGAGTGGGGAGCAAACCTAAACCCAGACACGTAAGAAATCATCCAATCAAAGCACCATGTGTAGGAGCAAAGAGTATAAATAGAACAAGAGAGCCAACAACGCTCATTGAGAGCGTAAAAAAACGATACGCCCTACGCAGCTAGTGTAGGACGCCAACTAACGCTTGTATGTTTTTTATTACCCAGTACTCCACCGCGCACGGTCGGTTTGTCTGTTTAATATAAAAATAATAAAAAGGTAAGGTAATAAAAAGAACATACAACCGTTAGTGGGCGTCCTACACAGGCGTGACGTTTTTACGAACGGGGCTTTGCTGTCTTGTTCTATTTATACTCTTTGGTAGGAGTAAATGGATTTCTATTAAAATACGAACCTGAAGTGTAGATTGTATAAATGCAGTTAATATGACGCGAACTGCTATAGGTTTAAAATAAATTAATGTCATTATTAACCTAGTGAGGTCTATCAATATCGAACCTAAATTCCAAATATCATTTATAGATCCATATAATTATAATATAGCATCAAACTCTATGATGAATAATGAAAGTTTTTTAATATTTAATGAAATGATGATCATAAGCAATTGCTTGAGGCCGCTTTAGAAAACTGATGCCCAGAATAGGCAATTATTGCATTGAGTATCAATTATAAAATATATATAATTATTATTACTATTGTTATTAATTAAGATTAGTGCCTATTACTATTATTATTAAGTTATTTTGATATTAAACCACTGTGCAGTACTTTCATAATTTTCATAATTATTTTCTTTTTTAGATGTATTTGTGTCGATCCTATACATGGTTCCAGGACAAGAAATAGTCCACCATATTGTCGTAAGTATTACGGTACCTTACCAACTTAACTGAGCAATTGTGTGTTGACTTCTCATTTGTGTACAATATTAATCGATGCCATCATCATTATGTCATTTTGTTCGTGTTTTTTTTTTATGTTTACAGATTCCGTTGATTTACCTGAAAATCAGTAAGTAAAGATTTACATTCTACTAAAAATATTAAATATAATTTTAAATAACAACCCAACAGATCTTTGTTTCGTTATAGGCAAAATATAATTATTATGATATGAATAATAATGTATAATTGTATTGGCCAATACAAGATAAATGGTAAGTAGCAAATCTGCACATAAACGGGAAACGTAATGATGATCAGCAAAAGTAAAACATTCTTCTCTATACCTTAAATTTAGTTGTTTATTCAGAAGACATCTCTAGAACTTCATTTTAATTTAATTATGTCTCATGTTTTATCCTCATACTTTGGTAAAATATTTATTAGAAAGTTTTAATTACATCCTGCTGCAATAAAAACCAAGTCATTGTTATTTATATTAAACCATTATAATTTATGTATTTTGTACTGTATTTTTCACCGAGGAATATTAATCTCAATACATCTAGACATTTAAAATAAATATTTATTTAAATATCTTATCGATATCTCAGGGTTTGTTTTTCTTATCATTAATAAATACAAGGGATTACTATCAATAATGATATGAATATAACTTAGGCCTATGTCAATTTCAATTAGGTGCTCATCTGAAGTAGAAATGACAAAACGGAGGGTGCAAGAATCGGCTGACGCATGGGCCTTAAACGGCATCAGTTTCTTCCCTCCAAAATGCGATGAGAAGGGCAATTATCTTCCGCTGCAGTGCCGAGAGTCATTATAGTAGGTTCTTTTCCTCTAATTGGTTTTATTTATTGATGGGAAAGAAGAAACAAACATAACCCATCACTTCGACTTTGAATAATCAGATAAGATAAGATAACTTTATTGTTCCACAAGGGAATTGTTCTGCTCCTCATCACATATTATATTATAAAATGTAAAACAATTATAAAAAAGACATACAAAACAGTCACTATAGAAAATATAACAAGTAAAATACAATGACTACCATCGATAAAATAATTGAATTACTATTATGATTATTTTTATTATTATTCTTATTATTATTATTATTATTATTATTATTATTATTATTATTATTATTATTATTATCATTATCGAAATTAATACAGTTAAATTTATTATTAATATTATTATCAAAAAAATACAAAACACTGAAATGAATTATCTTCTAAACCTCTTGTTGAGCTGGGTGATGCCGGAGGGGATAAATGACTTCGCATAACGGCTTGTTTTTGCTCTGAGTAGCCTCATTCTACCACTTGGATTAAGTTGGTTAATAATAGCATAATGGAGTGGATGAGAGGTATCTAACTCAATACGATGGAAGGTTTTCTGAAGATGTTCTATATACACCTCACTAATGGAGGGCAACTGTAGACCAATCATTTTGCAAGCCTGACGGATAAAAGTGTCAATACGTCCTTTATCCACTCCGGCAGCATTACCACCAACAAGCAAGGCAATATGTCCAAACACTACAAACAACAGATCTATAAAAAGGAGGTTCACTGGAATTAAATTTAAATAGAGTTCTCAAATAATTTAAGTCATAGGCTTACTCAAAATGGCAAAGTTTATTACTAAAAACTCACAAGGAAAATGTTCAGAACAACTCACGTAACCTCAGGCGCAGAAAGTCCCATTTTGAATTTTAAAATTCCTCATCTCTCTCAACTAATTGTGTTTGTATTCACTGAAGTTAAATACGATTATCAGAGTATATACTATACTTGAAGGTAATTGTTTTGTTTCAGTCCTTTCTGTAGATGCGTGGACAGCAAGTGGGGTAATGTTACCAACTCTCTTGTACCAGACTGCGGTAAGGCCTTTATATTTGCAGGCTAAATAAGCTAAATGCGCAAGTTTACTCAAAATGAACATAACCTTGAGTTTAAGTAGAACCTTAACGGACTGAGGCATTGGACCTTCGACAATTAAACTTATTCGACTGGAAGAAGGGTTTCATTGTATTGGGCAGTATTCTACCCTCTGATTATGAAGCATGTTTATTCATTGCCAATTATAGCAAAGATACTAGAAAAACAAGATAGTGTTCTCCACAGAAAACTTATACACATCTCAGCGTCGCAAGATGGGTCTTACATGTTCTCAAACCCATCATGTGATAGTGATGGAAACTTCATGCGCCTCCAGTGTCAGGAGTGGGGAGCAAACCTAAACCCAGACACGTAAGAAATCATCCAATCAAAGCACCATGTGTAGGAGTAAATGGATTTCTATTAAAATACGAACCTGAAGTGTAGATTGTATAAATGCAGTTAATATGACGCGAACTGCTATAGGTTTAAAATAAATTAATGTCATTATTAACCTAGTGAGGTCTATCAATATCGAACCTAAATTCCAAATATCATTTATAGATCCATATAATTATAATATAGCATCAAACTCTATGATGAATAATGAAAGTTTTTTAATATTTAATGAAATGATGATCATAAGCAATTGCTTGAGGCCGCTTTAGAAAACTGATGCCCAGAATAGGCAATTATTGCATTGAGTATCAATTATAAAATATATATAATTATTATTACTATTGTTATTAATTAAGATTAGTGCCTATTACTATTATTATTAAGTTATTTTGATATTAAACCACTGTGCAGTACTTTCATAATTTTCATAATTATTTTCTTTTTTAGATGTATTTGTGTCGATCCTATACATGGTTCCAGGACAAGAAATAGTCCACCATATTGTCGTAAGTATTACGGTACCTTACCAACTTAACTGAGCAATTGTGTGTTGACTTCTCATTTGTGTACAATATTAATCGATGCCATCATCATTATGTCATTTTGTTCGTGTTTTTTTTTTATGTTTACAGATTCCGTTGATTTACCTGAAAATCAGTAAGTAAAGATTTACATTCTACTAAAAATATTAAATATAATTTTAAATAACAACCCAACAGATCTTTGTTTCGTTATAGGCAAAATATAATTATTATGATATGAATAATAATGTATAATTGTATTGGCCAATACAAGATAAATGGTAAGTAGCAAATCTGCACATAAACGGGAAACGTAATGATGATCAGCAAAAGTAAAACATTCTTCTCTATACCTTAAATTTAGTTGTTTATTCAGAAGACATCTCTAGAACTTCATTTTAATTTAATTATGTCTCATGTTTTATCCTCATACTTTGGTAAAATATTTATTAGAAAGTTTTAATTACATCCTGCTGCAATAAAAACCAAGTCATTGTTATTTATATTAAACCATTATAATTTATGTATTTTGTACTGTATTTTTCACCGAGGAATATTAATCTCAATACATCTAGACATTTAAAATAAATATTTATTTAAATATCTTATCGATATCTCAGGGTTTGTTTTTCTTATCATTAATAAATACAAGGGATTACTATCAATAATGATATGAATATAACTTAGGTCTATGTCAATTTCAATTAGGTGCTCATCTGAAGTAGAAATGACAAAACGGAGGGTGCAAGAATCGGCTGACGCATGGGCCTTAAACGGCATCAGTTTCTTCCCTCCAAAATGCGATGAGAAGGGCAATTATCTTCCGCTGCAGTGCCGAGAGTCATTATAGTAAGTTCTTTTCCTCTAATTGGTTTTATTTATTGATGGGAAAGAAGAAACAAACATAACCCATCACTTCGACTTTGAATAATCAGATAAGATAAGATAAGATAACTTTATTGTTCCACAAGGGAATTCTTCTGCTCGTCATCACATATTATATTATAAAATGTAAAACAATTATAAAAAAGACATACAAAACAGTCACTATAGAAAATATAACAAGTAAAATACAATGACTACCATCGATAAAATAATTGAATTACTATTATAATTATTTTTATTATTATTATTATTATTATTACTATTATTATTATTATTATTATTATTATCATTATCGTAATTAATACAGTTAAAATTATTATTAATATTATTATCAAAAAAAAAAAAAACACTGAAATGAATTATCTTCTAAACCTCTTGTTGAGCTGGGTGATGCCGGAGGGGATAAATGACTTCGCACTATAACGGTTTGTTTTTGCTCTGAGTAGCCTCATTCTACCACTTGGATTAAGTTGGTTAATAATAGCATGATGGAGTGGATGAGAGGTATCTAACTCAATACGATGGAAGTTTTTCTGAAGATGTTCTATATACACCTCACTAATGGAGGGCAACTGTAGACCAATCATTTTACAAGCCTGACGGATGAAAGTGTCAATACGTCCTTTATCCACTCCGGCAGCATTACCACCAACAAGCAAGGCAATATGTCCAAACACTACAAACAACAGATCTATAAAAAGAAGGTTCATTGGAATTAAATTTAAATAGAGTTCTCAAACAATTTAAGTCATAGGCCCCTATTGCAATAACGGTTAATTTGTTAATCCCAAGTTACTCAAAATGGCAAAAGTTTATTACTAAAAACTCACAAGGAAAATGTTCAGAACAACTCACGAAACCTCAGGCGCAGAAAGTCCCATTTTGAATTTGAAAATTCCTCATCTCTCTCAACTAATTGTGTTTGTATTCACTGAAGTTAAATACGATTATCAGAGTATATACTTTACTTGGAGTTAATTGTTTTGTTTCAGTCCTTTCTGTAGATGCGTGGACAGCAAGTGGGGTAATGTTACCAACTCTCTTGTACCAGACTGCGGTAAGGCCTTTGTATTTGCAGGCTAAATAAGCTAAATGCGCAAGTTTACTCAAAATGAACATAACCTTGAGTTTAAGTAGAACCTTAACAGACTGAGGCATTGGACCTTCGAGAGAATTACACTTCATATTCGACTGGAAGAAGGGTTTCATTGTATTGGGCAGTATTCTACCCTCTGATTATGAAGCATGTTTATTCATTGCCAATTATAGCAAAGATACTAGAAAAACAAGATAGTGTTCTCCACAGAAAAAAACTGTTCCACCGAAATGCCAGGTGGGAATAAAACAATGGGGCGCCGCGTACGGCTGGATCTATAAAAAAAAAAAAATCTTCTGCCACCGTTACATAACTGTGAATAAATAATCTCCTTTTGCGGAGGTTGAAATCGTTGCCATTATCCATAAGATACAAACAAGTAGGCATAAATAAATCAAAACAATAAAATGGCAGACACAAAAGCGCAGAATCGTATGACCGGACTTTGATTAGTGATAAAGTTTTCCTCCGTTAGTGGAAAAAGAAGGGCGCCCCGTGTGCGTCTGGATATACCTAGCCAGAGCCATATATATAAAGAGTTGCGACATTCCGCTCCTTGGTTTACGAAAGTCACGTGGTACACACCGTCCATTTTGTTTCATAATCTTCCCGATGAACACATGCAAAGTATATGTGTTACGTACATTGCATATTAATTTCAAACACTTAATTGGGTTTACAACTATATTAAATTTTATTTTTATTTTCTCATTCGCCTAGATGCGTTCGGAAAAATATTTAAGCTAAATAAGAAAAAAATAATAATTTTTTCCGACCTTTTCTGACGATCTTTAAAGGTTGTTCGCTAAACAATATTAGAAAATGGTTCTTAATTTCAAATCTTTGTACAGCCTGTATAAATACGAATGACAATGAAAATAAAGGTAATGTTCAATAATCTTTAAAATGATTTGCTGTTTCTATTGCATACTATTATATAATTATTATAACTTTATTTTGGAAACGACGCTTTTAAAACAGCGGACACGCTCGTGCAGTTTGTTTATAAAAGTACTGTACAGCCATAATACAATATTAAAATAGAGGCGAGACTTTTAATACAATAAAATGTACGATAATTACACAAGTTGAATATATCACAGATCCTGTATATCATTTAACACTTACAATTCATAACATTTACAGCAAAGCACAGTTTATATATTGCGGCCAACTGACCTATACTATTTTAATATTTATAAATAATAATAATCAAATTAATAACTTAAGATTTGTATAGGGCTCGCTCATACTCAAATTTAAGGAGCAAAATTGTATATACCCTAAACGGATTTAAATTACATTTTGATATACATATTTAATTAATTTTTGCTGGTCGTCACATATCAGTTATTTGCAAAAATAATAGGAGCTACTAAAGGATTGCTTAATTAAAGAATGCTTGCCATCGAGGGGCTCTCTCGGTCTATCGGCGAGGATTAAAGAACTGCTTAAAATAGTAAATTATTACAGTATTATTTTATAATATGAAATTGGATATAAAGTAGTGAAATCATTAAAAAAAATCTATAAATAGTTACATTAAATTCGACTGCTAAAAAGATTAAATGAAATTAAACTATACAGGAGGCCGCTAAATGTATTATACGATATTATATACACAGGAGCGCACATCACGTTAGACACAGAACGCGCATCGCGTATGAAACAAAATGGCTTCTAAATTCTCAATGTCGCAACTCTTTCTATCTATGGCTCTGTACCTAGCAACTGAAGGGCGCCTTTACCAGAAAACCTGCGTTATTATAAAAGGAGAAGGGCGCCGCGTACATGTGGACCAATTTCCGCCTCATTTTGCCATGCGAGTGCTCTATCTTGTATTTCTAGTATCTTTGATCATAGTTAGAATGTACCTTAGTTTTAATACTGTAGTTCTTTACATCCATAGACATTCCAATTCAGCCGTCACCAACGCCGTTAGCTGCTGAGAGTGAAGTGGACTATCGTGAGCTACGTTGCCCTCGGTTCCGATGCAATATCCTTTGTCGGTTTGGGTATCAGATGGACGAGAATGATTGTCCCATATGTGCTTGTAAACGGGGTAAATAATAATGATACATGTATTAATAATGATAATGGTGATCGTGATGAGGATGATAACGATGAGGGTTTTGATGAGTTGATGACGATGAATTAAAGTACTGTAGTTTGTATTAAATAAAAAGTAAGGTTTTAATATTGAATCGTTTGCGTCTGCTACACATATCTGATAAGCTTTATGATCAGCATTATTTTTTAGTGTCAAAATTGTTACAATGTTATAATTTTTCATTGAATAGACGTATAATATTTTTATCATCATTATTAAATAAATACCATTATTATCAATTATTATATTGCAATCACTTGCATTGTTTTCCTCAGCTTCCCCAGATGAGAAAACAGATATCGAAAGGTTCGTTGAAATAAAAACATTATTACACATAATGGCCATTGTAATCATTTTATTGATTATTAAATTTCATGTAATACAGATAATGATATATGTTTGTATCATATAACAGCAAACTACAAATTGTAATAGTTGAACAGCAATCTTAATATAACCGACAATGTATCTTAATGGCGTTATTGTTGTTACTATATTAACGTATGACTGTTGATTGTAGGCTTAACATTGAATATCAATAGAACTAACCTAACATACAATTGGGAAGCATACAATAATATTTGTTACTGCAGATGTTTTGCTGAAACGGATCGTCTTGGTCGGCAAATAGCTGAAATGATGAAAACAGGCAAACCTTCCATTCCCTTCCCAGAAATCCCGATATGTGATAGCGACGGCAACTACGTCAAAAGACAGTGCACATACATTCATGGGTGAGTTGGCCTAAACTTACGAGGTGTATTGTACTTATATCTTTAAAGTTACCCAAGCTTCAATATCTTTGAGAAAAAAATATTAATGAACTTAAAAATGACTTGTATTTACTTGTTTGTTATTGAAGGTGCTACTGTGTAGATCCTGTAACGGGCCGACCGTCGGGTTTCCAAAATCCAGATTGTCGTGAGTTTTATCAAATGTTTGCTACCGGATTATTTATCGAGATTCCTAACTAACAATAATAATATATAGGCCTATTTATGTTTATGGTACATAATAATGGGCTAATCAACCATCATTATTATGTGTACATATGAGTGTAGGTTCCACATATATTGGTAATATAAAATAAGCACGATTATACAAAGTAGAAAAGTATGGTATAAGTTAACTATAGGCATAAGAATTTTATTATATTTCGAAAATTTCGAGCACTCCTGTGTATAATTAAAAAAAACTTTACAATCTAGCAAAAGAGAATAAGCAATTTATGTACTAAGATACATATTCCTATATGTATTGAAGTATGCCTATATATATATATAGGCCTATTATATATATATATATAGGTCCTATATATATGTATATTATATATATATATTATGTACATATGTTATTTATTTTATAATAGGCCTATTATTGTTGTTGATATTATAATTGTCATTATACTGTTCATCTTGCGACCGGTTATGCGTTTTTTTACATATATATATTTGTATAGTTGAGTACAAGCCATGCGTGAAGAGGCGGATTCAGTCGATAGTAGATGTATTAACGAAAGGAAACTCACATAAGTCAGCAAAGAAATTGACGAAATTACTTGATAAAGACATGGCGAACAATCTTCTGCAGATAAGTAAGCTGACGACAACGCAAGACAAGGAGCTCCTCGCCAAGACTTACATTGAGCAGTGTACACAATTTGGCGATTATAATGGTACCCAGTGCGACCCGAATGGAAACTGCTGGTGCGTCGATGTTGCTGGGCAAACTGTTGTTGGAAATCGTCGCAGTGGTGTGCCAGTTTCCGAATGCTACGGAGATCAGCGCCAAAGTGAGTCTATATTTTTTGCCGTTAAAGTATGCTTTTCTCTTAATTATTTTAGCGGTTTTCTAATGCCTAAAGTACTGGTCGCGGGAATTGCACTTCGAAGAGCAGTCGTTGGTGTTGAACACTTTGCGGGCAATAGTACTTATGACTAAATTATTGCTGAATTGGCTTTTTTCATTTTGGTTGTTAGACTTTTTAATAATTCTAAGCCTGATGACAGTGTACTATTTATCTTGCGTCTTTCTGCTGCACATCCAATTTTTTAATAAATCAATTACATGTAAAGTTTTCGGCTTATATGTTTATTTTTGTAGACATTTTATTTTTTGCACAGATTATTTAATTGTTCTAAATATAATATTTTACAGACTCGCAGATCCCAATGATAGTGAACGACCTTTACGATCACTGGCTTGATATGAACGTAACGTACCCCTTCTACTGCACCATATCGCACGTGACTGAAGAGGAGGACAGACACTACTTTTGGTCCAAAGACGGTGTACCGATCAATCCGAATACTCATCCGCGAATAACTACAGAGGTCGTGTATTACGACTTTTTAAGACAGGCAAGCATGATGATGGTTATTAACAACGTAACTGCTCAGGATGACGGAATTTACCGTTGTGAAATGACTGATACGGCTAGAGATTTTCACCTCAGTTCAACGCCTGTTCGATTTAACGTCCTTGGTAGGCATGCCCATACTTACATATTTTTTATTTATGTTGGAAAATTGTTCCATTAATAAAAGTTCATGTATACAACAGGGACAATTTTTTAACATAAGGCCTACACCCGAATGCCAGTCTTTCTTCCCAGACCCAGCAGTCGTTTCTCCCTCTGGCAGATTGTCTTATTATTACCGCTTGCAATATTATGTAGGTCCTATTTGTTTTCTCATTTAGCACACACAGTTACTCACGCCCAGGCGCCACCTCTGCCAGTACCGTGTAATATGACTGCATGCGAGAACTATTGCAAATACGGATATCGTCTGGACTCAAGGAACTGCCCAACATGTCAATGCAAATCATTTACTGGTAAGTCATAGATAATAACGAACAAAGACATAATGTGTCTTTAACATGTTATTCAAGATTGTGAATGATGTGACATTGAGCCAGCAAATTCAATTCAATTCATTTTCCAGAAGACATAAATGTACAAAATGATCTAACCGTACACTAGCCTTGGGGATCGTTGAAAAGCGAAACAAATGTATGATAACTGTAAGATAAATACTCCTTCTGTTGCTCCTTCTTTTGCAGGGAAAAAGTATAATTAAGTACACTCAACAAGTTATTAAATTTAAAAAGCCGGGGGAAAAGCTTAAGGGCAACCAAAAAGTCATAGGGACATCTTTTGGTAGTGTATCCCAGATTCTTGGAAAAGAAATACAATCTGAATGGTAAAATGCATTTGCACGTAAACTTATACGTCTAAAAAAAGTTTATTATTTAACTGAAAGAAACATACTGTATCTGATTTATTTTACAGAGGCGGAACAAATGATTGTATTTTACAACATGATTACGAGTCGGAAAAACATTTTCGGTTCCAAGGGTGGAAGGTAATTCATGTGACTTATATACATACTCATTTTATACTTATCAACCAGCAGAACTTATGTTCAACTAATATAGTATTAACATTAACAACATCATTAACATCATTACCATTAGCAATTCGCCTTCTGTCATCATCAGTTAATAATAATAATAATGATAATTTATTTCCATCCGTTCAACTAACAGATTCGGAACAGGGGGCAAGCGTGTACAGAGATTCCTTTAACTAACTTAATACTTTTGTCATTGGTACTGCAACCATCTTGTGTCCACTCAATTATAAGATATCATTATCGTATTATTTTGGTAAAATGATAGTAATTGTCTTTATCATTATGTTATGATTATTTAATCAAGGTGCAAGATGGAACGGACGAGAGCTCTTGAAATAATACACAATGCCAATCTTACCCTTTCTATGGAGACCTTCTACGCACCAGTCCGCTTGCATTCGCCGCCAACGTGCGATAATGATGGCAACTACGAGCCAGTCCAGTGCCGAGAATATGTTGGGTACGATTAGCCAATTAAAAGATAGTGAATGTGCATGTGTATCGTATTAATATTATTAAACTTTGGAAGGTTGACCCAATTATAATTTGTAATGGAACAAAGCTACGGTAGATGTACTACTTATGTGCTAACTGACTTGCATTTATGTCGAATATTCAACCATATATTTTTATTCCATTGTTATTACCTTAATTTTGTAATGTTAATTTGAAGTGTGAAGAAACTAATTTGAAGTGTGAAGAAACTAATAAACAACCCCCCCCCCCTTAAACAAACAAACAAACAAAACTATGTAATATGTTTTGAATTTAGCAAAGGTTAAATAATTGATAAAGTTCGGTAACCATTATTATTTTAACTACATTGGGATAATTGATTCATATATTGTATAAATTTAGTTTGGGTTTTAATGCTACATCCTTGCGTCTTATTATGTAAAGTGGTTTTGGCGCAGCGGGAATGGATTGGTTTCGATGTTTCAATCCCATCGCTGTGCATTTCACTTGTGTCCTTGGGCAAGACACTTTATCTGCATTGCTTCTATCCACCCAGGAGTATAAGTGGGTACCTGGTAGGGTTAAATGCCAAAATGCGCTGATGTAGCTGCCGCAATGTTATGGAATACTCACTAGGGGAGCTTGAGTTTGTGTTCCATAGGTTTTTAATCCAATGACCGGGGTAATGATAATGTGAAGCACATAGAGGGCTTAACATAATTCGCTATATAAGAATATTATTATTATTAATATTATTATTATTATTATTATTATTATTATTATTATTATTATTATTATTATTATTATTATTATTATTTATTATTATCATTATTATTATTATTATTATTATTATTATTATTATCATTATTATTTATTATTAAGATATGGCGTTCTCTACATTTTGTTCTTACATATTTTTATTGTTTTCTTCTCAGTTGTTTCTGTGTGAATATTATGACTGGAGAGCCGTCTGGCCGCAAAGCTCCAGAATGCAGTAAGAAATAATAATATTATTTTATAAATGTACTAATTATACTCATTAATGTTAGGCCGGTGATTAAGATGATTTCCTTCGAATTTAGTGTCCTTGTTTCAAATGCTATCAAGAATTTTAACCCACTGGGGTAATGTGTGCTTGGGTTAACCATTCAGTTGTATTATACTAGCTAAATGATACTATCTTCTTATTTTTATAATATTCTTAGCAAAACTTCGAAAATGTATCAACCAGCAGATCGACTCGATGATGCACATAGTCGGCCGATTAAGTGACAAAAAGAAGTCTAGAAAGACTGCCATTCAGGTTAAAAAAGAGCCTACAGTATCGTCAATTCGTTCGGAGCTTTTCAAAGTAGCAATGTCAAAACTACCGGAAAAGTTTGCCAACGAAGAGTCAGACTTCCCTGTTCCGAACTGCGAGGGTCACGGGGAGTTTATTCCTCAGATCTGTAGCTTGTACCTTGGAGAATGTTGGTGTGTAGACAGCTACGGTGATGAACTTGCTGGAACGCGAGTCAGAGAAGGTGAACCGTTGATAAATTGCTTCCAAGATTTTGGAGGTAAGACACGTGCTCCTTTTCTTTTTCTGCTAATAAAGTCTGCCAATCTTCCCGCACGCACTTTCGTGACTCTGCCCTCGGTATGCATACTCAATCGTATTAGAGAGGTTTTCAGGCAATAGCCTCACACAGTGGCGTATCTAGGGGAGGGCGCTTCCCCCAGTCGCCCCCACAAAAATCACGGTCAAGTAGTTAAAAATCACCTAAAATCACCATATTTTGCGAATTAGCGCCCCTCAACTGA